GCGGTCGGCGACGCATGGCATCGTATGCGACAGATTCTAGATCCACAGAATCTAGCCGTAAATTTAATTCTCCGATCAGCTAACCCTCAGCATTGCTAGGCAGCTATAGAACCCAACCAACGTGCCAGGCGGTCGGCGACGCACGGTATCGTATGCGACAGATTCACGAGCCACAGAATCAAGCCGTACATTAAATTCTCCTCCGATCAGCTAACGCTCAGCACTGCTGAGCAGCTATAGAACGCAACCAACGTGCCAGGCGGTCGGCGACGCACGGCTGGATCGACAAAGTGAAATGGTCGGGACGTCCGATCCTCGAAATTCGGCAAAGTCCTGTCGCGGCGTGTTGCTTTCATTCCACGGCCATGTCCCGACTCAGCGGGTTTCTTCGCCAACTACGGCTAAGGCCCGTACCCGTAAAACCTGACCGACTTGCCAGGCAGTCGGCGACGCACGGTATCGTATGCGACAGATTCACGAGCCACAGAATCAAGCCGTACATTAAATTCTCCTCCGATCAGCTAACGCTCAGCACTGCTGAGCAGCTATAGAACGCAACCAACGTGCCAGGCGGTCGGCGACGCACGGCTGGATCGACAAAGTGAAATGGTCGGGACGTCCGATCCTCGAAATTCGGCAAAGTCCTGTCGCGGCGTGTTGCTTTCATTCCACGGCCATGTCCCGACTCAGCGGGTTTCTTCGCCAACTACGGCTAAGGCCCGTACCCGTAAAACCTGACCGACTTGCCAGGCAGTCGGCGACGCACGGTATCGTATGCGACAGATTCACGAGCCACAGAATCAAGCCGTACATTAAATTCTCCTCCGATCAGCTAACGCTCAGCACTGCTGAGCAGCTATAGAACGCAACCAACGTGCCAGGCGGTCGGCGACGCACGGCTGGATCGACAAAGTGAAATGGTCGGGACGTCCGATCCTCGAAATTCGGCAAAGTCCTGTCGCGGCGTGTTGCTTTCATTCCACGGCCATGTCCCGACTCAGCGGGTTTCTTCGCCAACTACGGCTAAGGCCCGTACCCGTAAAACCTGACCGACTTGCCAGGCAGTCGGCGACGCACGGTATCGTATGCGACAGATTCACGAGCCACAGAATCAAGCCGTACATTAAATTCTCCTCCGATCAGCTAACGCTCAGCACTGCTGAGCAGCTATAGAACGCAACCAACGTGCCAGGCGGTCGGCGACGCACGGCTGGATCGACAAAGTGAAATGGTCGGGACGTCCGATCCTCGAAATTCGGCAAAGTCCTGTCGCGGCGTGTTGCTTTCATTCCACGGCCATGTCCCGACTCAGCGGGTTTCTTCGCCAACTACGGCTAAGGCCCGTACCCGTAAAACCTGACCGACTTGCCAGGCAGTCGGCGACGCACGGTATCGTATGCGACAGATTCACGAGCCACAGAATCAAGCCGTACATTAAATTCTCCTCCGATCAGCTAACGCTCAGCACTGCTGAGCAGCTATAGAACGCAACCAACGTGCCAGGCGGTCGGCGACGCACGGCTGGATCGACAAAGTGAAATGGTCGGGACGTCCGATCCTCGAAATTCGGCAAAGTCCTGTCGCGGCGTGTTGCTTTCATTCCACGGCCATGTCCCGACTCAGCGGGTTTCTTCGCCAACTACGGCTAAGGCCCGTACCCGTAAAACCTGACCGACTTGCCAGGCAGTCGGCGACGCACGGTATCGTATGCGACAGATTCACGAGCCACAGAATCAAGCCGTACATTAAATTCTCCTCCGATCAGCTAACGCTCAGCACTGCTGAGCAGCTATAGAACGCAACCAACGTGCCAGGCGGTCGGCGACGCACGGCTGGATCGACAAAGTGAAATGGTCGGGACGTCCGATCCTCGAAATTCGGCAAAGTCCTGTCGCGGCGTGTTGCTTTCATTCCACGGCCATGTCCCGACTCAGCGGGTTTCTTCGCCAACTACGGCTAAGGCCCGTACCCGTAAAACCTGACCGACTTGCCAGGCAGTCGGCGACGCACGGTATCGTATGCGACAGATTCACGAGCCACAGAATCAAGCCGTACATTAAATTCTCCTCCGATCAGCTAACGCTCAGCACTGCTGAGCAGCTATAGAACGCAACCAACGTGCCAGGCGGTCGGCGACGCACGGCTGGATCGACAAAGTGAAATGGTCGGGACGTCCGATCCTCGAAATTCGGCAAAGTCCTGTCGCGGCGTGTTGCTTTCATTCCACGGCCATGTCCCGACTCAGCGGGTTTCTTCGCCAACTACGGCTAAGGCCCGTACCCGTAAAACCTGACCGACTTGCCAGGCAGTCGGCGACGCACGGTATCGTATGCGACAGATTCACGAGCCACAGAATCAAGCCGTACATTAAATTCTCCTCCGATCAGCTAACGCTCAGCACTGCTGAGCAGCTATAGAACGCAACCAACGTGCCAGGCGGTCGGCGACGCACGGTATCGTATGCGACAGATTCACGAGCCACAGAATCAAGCCGTACATTAAATTCTCCTCCGATCAGCAAAAGCTCAGCACTGCTGAGCAGCTATAGAACGCAACCAACGTGCCAGGGGGTCGGCGACGCACGGCTGGATCGACAAAGTGAAATGGTCGGGACGTCCGATCCTCGAAATTCGGCAAAGTCCTGTCGCGGCGTGTTGCTTTCATTCCACGGCCATGTCCCGACTCAGCGGGTTTCTTCGCCAACTACGGCTAAGGCCCGTACCCGTAAAACCTGACCGACTTGCCAGGCAGTCGGCGACGCACGGTATCGTATGCGACAGATTCTCGAGCCACAGAATCTAGCCGTACATTAAATGCTCCTCCGATCAGCTATCGCTCAGCACTTCTGAGCAGCTATAGAACGCAACCATCGTGCCAGGGGGTCGGCGACGCACGGCTGGTTCGACAAAGTGAAAGTTTCGTGACCTACGACCCTCGAAATTTTGCAAAATCCCTTCCCGGCGTGTTGCATTCCAACCTAGGGCAAGTCCTGTCGTTGGGTGTTGCTGCGTAGTTGTTATCTCCGTTCTGGTAATGCGATAAAATCTGGTTGCGGCGTGTTGCTTTTCTATCGCGTTCAATTCCATTTGCGGCGTGTTGCTTTCATACCGCTGCAAAGTGTAATCGCGGCCTGATGCTTTCATACCGCGGCAAAGGCCAGTCGCATCGTGTTTTTTTCTTACCACTGCTGTGCCGAGCAGTCGTGGTGCTTCCCTCCTACGGCCTAGTACCGTCGATAAGTGTTGGTACCCCTACTACGTCTAATTCACGACGCTGCATGTTGCTTCGCCAACTACGGCCATGTCCCGTAACGGCGTGTTGCTTTCCTATCACGGCCTAGTTCCGTCGCGTAGTTGGCGTAGCAAAACGCCGCGTCGGGATTTGGCCGTATTAGGAAAGCAACACGCTGCGATTGGTGTTGGCCGTGGTAGGTGAACAACACGTCGCGTCGGGACTTAGCCGAGGTAGGAAATCAACACGCCGCGTGGGGTCTTTGCCACGATATAAAAGCAACACACGACGGTACTGGGGCGTGGCCTGTAAGCAGCACGCCGCGATGGTACTTGGCGGTGGGTAGAAAGCATCTCGCCACGTCGGGACAGCCGTGGTAGGAAAGCAGCACGTCGCGATCGGACTTGGTCGCTGTAGGTAAGCAACACGCCGCGACGGGACTTTTTTTAACATTTATAATGGTATACTGGGTATAAACGATATTTCAATTTTAATATTTCTTTAATACTTTATTAGTAAAATATATATTCATCACATACCATTTTAACATTTAACTTAACTTTCGCTCCTATTAATAAGAATTATTATACCTAACATAGTTTAATTAACCTAATTTATAATTATAATCAGCCACCTCCACTTTTTTTCTTTTCCCTCTTATATGAATAAAATAAATACAATAATTAAACATCTCTCAAATTTACCTCCTCCATCCAATATTTTCTATCAATGAAATTTTGGATAACTTATCGGATTTTTCCTTATAATGCAAATCATTAGTGGATTATTCCTATCTATACACTACTGCCCCAGTAACAACTCAGCTTTTAACAGAATTATTCATTACATTCAAAATGTACCTAACAGACGAATTATACCAAATACCAGGTGTACAAGTATGAAATGCGGATTTTTTCCAAAAAAAAACCAGTTAAATTCGGAAGAATGATAAAAAAAGTTTTATTCAAAGTATGCTCCATTGCTAGTTACACATTTTTCCCATCTGTTGGGCAATTTGTGGATACCACGCCAGTAAAAATCTTTCCCCTTTGCCGCGAACCATTTATCGAGCTATTTTTTCACATTTTCGTACGAACCAAAGCGCTGCTCAGCAAGTGCGTGACCCATCGATGCAAACAAGTGGTAATCGGAAGGATCCAAGTCTGGTGATTAAGCCGCATGGGGTAGAACTTCCCAGCTGAGTGCTTCGAACATGTCGCGAACTGGTTTTGCCGTACGTGATGGAGCATTGTCATGAAGAAAAATGACTTTGTGTTGTCTCTTTTGGTATTCTGGTCTTTTTTCAAGCAGCGAACGGTTCAAATCGATCAATTGTTGTTGGTAGCGTCCAGCATTAACCATTTCATCAGATTTTAACAGCTCATAATAGATCACACCCTTCTGGTCCCACCACAGAGCATCGTCTTTCTGCCAAAGCGATTCGGTCTTGCGGTCGATGTGGATGGTGTCCTGGGTCTACCCATGATTTTTTGAGTTTGAGATTCTCAAAATAAATCCACTTTTCATCCTCACTAACGTTACGATGCAAAAACGACTTCCTTTTGTATCGTGCAAGCAAAATTTCACGTTTGTTTTTGAGCCTCTCCATCTATCTGCCGTCCAACTGATGCAGTACCCATCTTCCGATCTTCTGAATCTTTCTCATCTCTCGTAGGAAACAGCTTGTTGACTAACGCTCAATTGCTCTGCGAGTTGTTTTGGTGTTTGTGAATCATCTTCGTCCAACAACGCTTGCAATTCCACATCTTCGTATCTTTTTGGTGGTTTTCCGTGTTCCTTGTCTGCAACATCGAAATCACCACTTTTAAAACACGGAAATCATCGTTCACACATATCTTGCGATGGAGCATGTTCACCATAAGCTTCTCGAAGTAATCGGTATAATTCAGCAGCAGTTTCCTTCAAATAAAAACAAAAAATTAATGCTGTCCGCGAATGCTCTTTGTTTGATATAAATTTCGACAAATCGAAAGCTTTATATCACATACTGCATTGATGCGCCATCTGTTTTCTCAAATCCGCATTTCATACTTGTACACCTGGTATGTCTATAAATGAAGCTTATTTTTTTTTTATATATATGCATTTCAGACAAAATATTTCTTATATATACCACCAGCAGCAGCAGCAGAAGCATAGCAGCAGCAGCACCAGCAGCAGCGGCAGCAGCAGCGGCAGCGGCAGCGGCAGTGGCAACGGCAGTGACAGCGGCAGCAGAAAACATAGCGGCTGCAGCAGCTTCTGCAGCAAAGGCAGCGGCAGCGGAAGCGGTTGCGGCAGCGGAAGCAGAAAACATAGCATCAGCAGCAGCAGCAGCAGCAGGAAACATAGCAGGAGCATCAGGAGGAGCAGAAAACATAAAAGCAGCAGCAGTATCAGCAGCTGAAAACATTAGAGCACCAGCAGCGGCAGCAGCTGCAGCAGCAGAAAACAGCAGCAGCAGCACCAGCAGCAGAAGCGGCAGCGGCAGTGGCAGCTGCAGTGGCAGTGGCAGCGGCAGAGGCAGCGGCAGTGACAGCGGCAGCAGAAATCATACGAGCGAATGCAGCAGCTTCTGCACCAACGGCAACGGCAGCGGGAGCGGCAGCGGCAGCGGAAGCAGAAAATATAGCATCAGCAGCAGCAGCAGCAGCAGTAGAAAACATAGCAGCAGCACCAGCAGCAGAAGCTGCCGCGGCAATGACAGCAGCAGCAGCATGGGCAGCGGCAGGGCCAGCGGAAGCGGCAGCGACAGCGGCAGCGGTTGCAGTAAAAATTGCAGCAGCAGCAGTAGCAGCAGCAGCGGCAGCAGCAGTGGCAGAGGCAGCGGCAGCGGCAATAGAAGACATAGCGGCAGCAGCAGCGTCAGCAGCAGCGGCAGAGGCAGCAGAAAACATAAGAGGAGCATCACCAGGAGCAGAAAACAAAGAAGCAGCAGCTGCAGAAAACATAGCAGCAGCAGCAGCAGCAACAGCAGAAAACATAGCAGGAGCAACAGCAGGAGCAGAAAACATATAAGCAGCAGCCGCGGCATCAGCATCAGCAGCTGAAAACATAGCAGCCACAGCAGCGGCAGCAGCAGCAGCCGAAAACATAGCAGCAGCAGCACCAGCGGCAGAAGCGGCAGCGGCAGTAGCAGCAGTAACGGCAATGACAGCGGCAGCGGCAGCTGCAGCAGAAAACATTGCGGCAGCAGCAGCGTCAGCAGCAGCGGCAGAGGTAGCGGGAGCGGCAGCGGCAGCGGCAATAGTAAAAATTGCGGCAGCAGCAGCAGTTGAAGACAAAGCAGCAGCAGCAGCGGCAGCGGCAGCATAGTAGCAGCAGCAGCAGTATTGGTACTTGTTAGTTGTTAATTGTTAATTGTTAATATTTAATTGTTAATTGTTAATTGTTAATTGTTATAATTAAAAGTTGTTCTTAAAAAAATGTAATATAATAATATAAAATGTAAGTTTAATAGAGTGAATTATATAAATAATTAGTGATTTTATTGTTAATATTTAATTTAAATTTTATGAATAAAATTGACTTTTTTATATATTATATTTAGTAAACTATTTGTATTATTTAGAGGTATAAATATATTTTAAGGAATAATATTTATTAATATACAATATATAATAACTAATTATATTTTTGTTTTAAATTATTTCATAATACCATATTAAATTTATAATGGTATACTGGTTCTAAGAGATATTTAAATTTTAGTACTTCTTTATTACTAAATTTATAAAATACATATTCATCACATACCATTTTAACGTTTAACTTAACTTTCTCTCCTATTCGTATACAATTATTATACCTTATATAATTTAATTAAGCTAAATTATAATAATAATCAGCAACTAAATTATAATAATAATCAGCAAATCCCCTTTTTTTCTTATCTCTCTTAAATTAATAAAATAAATACAATAATTAAACATCTCTCAAATCTACATCCTCCAACCAATATTTCCTACTGATGAAACTTTGGATCACTTATAGAAGTTTTCATTATAATGCAAATCATCAGTGGATTATTCCTATCCATATACTACTGCCCCAATAACAACTCAGCTTTTAACAAAATTATTTATATCATTCAAAATGTATATAACGGACGAATCATACACAATATGTCTATAAATGAAGTTTATTTTTTTTTATTTTTAAACATATGCATTTCAGACAAAATATTTATAATATTTATTAGAGCGGCAGCGGCAGCGGCAGCGGCAACAGACCTCGTAAGGTCTATTCCGACCCAATAAAGTCAAAATCGAAAAAAAAGTCCCAATTTTTTTTAAAAGATATCGACCCGATTTCCCCAAAATCATGATAATCGGACCCAAACCGACCCCGTAGGCTCTATTCTGACACAATAGGGCACTCTTCGAAAAAAAAGGCTTTGTTTTTTAGAAAATTTCGACCCGATTTTATAGGTATCCACCAAGTATTCCCCACGTAGCCACCACGTGGTAACCACGTGACCACCACGTGGCCATTACATGGCTACCACGTGGCAATCACGTGGCCAACACGTGGACTCCTGGTAGTTATCACGTGCCAACCAGATGGCATTCATGTGGCTACCACGTGGACATCACGTGGACTCCTGGTGGTTATCACGTGCCCACCACAGGGCCATGACGTGGCTATCACGTGGCTATCACGTGGCCATCACGTGGAATCCTGGTGGCCATCACGTGGCCATCACGTTGCCATCACGTGGCTACCACGTGGCAACCACGTGGCCACCACGTGCCTAGCACGTGGCCTCCATGTGTCCACCCCGTGGTTATAGCGTGGTCATCACGTGTCCACCACGTTGCCATCTCGTGTACTCCTGTTGGTTATCACGTGACCACAACGTTGCAACCACGTGGCCATCACATGGACTCCTTGTGGCCATCATGTGGCCACCACGTGGCCATCACGTGGCTATCACGTGGCCATCACGTGGAATCCTGGTGGCCATCACGTGGCCATCACGTTGCCATCACGTTGCCATCACGTGGCCACCACGTGGCAACCACGTGGCAACCACGTGGCCATCACGTGTCCACCACGTGGCAATCACAAAGACTCCTGGTGGCCATAACGTGGCCACCACGTGGTCATCACATGGCCATCACGTGGCCATCACGTGGCCATCACGGGGCCACCTCCTGGCCATCACGCGGCCACCACGTGGTCTCTTGGTAGTTATCACGTTCCCACCATGTGGCCATCACGTTGCTACGACGGGGCCATCACTTGGACTCCTGGTGGCCATCACGTGGCCACCACGTGGCCACCACGGGGCCACCTCGTGGCCATCACGCGGCCATCACCTGGCCACCACGTGGCCTTCACGTGGCCATCACGTAGCCACCACGTGGCCATCACGTGGCCACCACGTGAACTCCATGTGGCCATCACGTAGCCACCACGTGGCCATCACGTGGCCATCACGTGGTCTCTTGGTAGTTATCACGTTCCCACCATGTGGCCATCACGTTGCTACGACGGGGCCATCACTTGGACTCCTGGTGGCCATCACGTGGCCATCACGGGGCCACCTCGTGGCCACCACGCGGCCATCACCTGGCCACCACGTGGCCTTCACGTGGCCATCACGTGAACTCCATGTGGCCATCACGTAGCCACCACGTGGCCATCACGTGGCCATCACGTGGACTCCTGGTAGTTATCACGTCCCCACCACGTGTCCTTCACGTGGCCACCACGTATGGTATTATTGCCGACGGATAAATGACTTGATGCGCTATCCGAGTACTGAGTGATGACGACAAGTGATTGAGTTTTAACAACTATAATAGGAAGAATGTCCCATTTGTCATTTATGATAATCTAGAATCCATCCTCGACTAAACTGATAGCGATCAGGAAGCATCTACGCGTACGTATGAACATCATCATCAAGTATTTAGCATAGAATACTACGTGAGCTGTTCGTACGACGATTCGCTATCAAAATATTGATTTTGTCGCGATCCTATTTTCATGGTTTGTCGAAAAACTGAGAAATTTAGCAAATTGCGTAAAAAAATTTTGGCCGCTAATGTCCCCAAGGAAACTTTGTCGAGCAAACAGTGGGAAACATTGTGCACCGTAACACATTGTCACATGTGCAAAAAGCTTTTTGCGCTAAATAATAATCGAATAAGCGATCATTGCCATTTAACCGGTCGTGCGCTTCCACGCATTCAAATTGCAATTAAAATTATAAAAATTCATATTTTATTCCTATAGTTTTCCACAATTTATTAGGCTACGATTCACATTTTATTATCAAAGAAATAGCTACAACATATGAAGGCAGTATAGATTTATTACTAATATCAGAGGAGAAATATATATCATTTACAAAAAATGTTAAAGATACCGCTGAAAAATCAGATTCGCGAAATAACATGACGATTCATCGATTGTTAAAAATTTTTAAGTATCGTCTCGACAAATTAGTATCCATTCTCAATAAAAATGAACTCCGAATTTTACAATGCGAATTTCAAAATTTGTCCGAAGAAGACTTCAAGTTACTGACACAAAAAGGGATTTTTCCATACAAATACATTGATTGCGCTGATAAGCTGTAGGATATACATTTACCACCGCATGAATCATTCTAGAGATCCTTAACCGGTGACATTGTATCCGAAAGCGATTATGTGCACGCCGTGAACGTTTGACAACAGTTTTCTGTTCAAATCTTGATTGAACAGCGATCTATATTTAAAAACAAACCTGTTGCCGACATATTTGAACATTTTTGCGATAAATTTATTAAAAGTTACGGTCTCGACCCTGCGTATTATTATACTTTACCAGGTTTTACGTGAGAAGCTATGTTGAAACATACAAGCGTAAATTTCGAACTGCTTACTGACATCGATATGGTGATGTTCATCGAGCGCGGTATACGCGGCAGCCTAGTCAATGTTCCATCAGATACGCGCGAGCCAATAATAAATATATGCAATCGTACACCTGTCGAAACTTTCTATGTACTTTGATGTTAATAATCTACGGATGAGCGATGTGTCAACCGTTGCCATATACCTAATTTCGATGAGTCGAAAACCCCTCGGATTTTGACGAGATTGATCAGAATTTGCTTACGTTTTTGAGGTCAACTTAGAATATCTGGAGCATTTGCACGACGAGCACATTGACCTGCTATTCTGTCCAACGCGTGATAAATCACCTGGTAAGCAGCAGCATAAACTTTTAGCGACTGTGTATGACAAAAAACGTTACGTTATACATTATCGCAACTTGCAGCAGTATATGCATCACGGTATTATCTTTAAGTAACAAAGATTCATCGCGTATTGCAATTCGCACAATTACCATGGCTTCGTGATTACATAGAACTTAATTTTACAAAATTTAGAATGCTTGCGAAGAATGACTTTGAGAAAAATTTATTTAAGTTAATGAATAATGCAGTATTCGGCAAAACCATGGAAAACGTGTGCAATCACATCGATGTAAAATTATTAACACAATGAAATGGACGATACGGCGCAGAGGCAATGATCGCGAAGCCAAATTTTTGCAGCAGAAGTGTATTTTTTGAAAATCTGATAGCAATTGAAATTCGTAAACTTGGAATTCAACAAACCGATCTACATAGGAAATGTATACTCGATCGAAGGTCTGTTTATATGAATTTCACCACGAATATATGTTACTGCTGTATCGCAAAAAATGTGAAATTATGTACACAGACACTGATGGCCTCATATATCGCATCGAGTGTGATGACGTTTGTGAACAAATAAAATGCGATATCACTAGGTTCGATACGTGTGATTATTCTATCGATAATGTGTATGGTATACCACTTACGAACAAAAAAGTGTCAGGCTTAATAAAAGATGAAAATAATGGCATAATATTGACTGAATTCGACAGACTCAAAACGAAAATGTATGCATAGATGGTAAAAAAGATATTAAAAAGGCAAAAGGTATCAAAAGTAACATCGTAGCGCGAATAATGATGAAATTGAAATGAGTCAACAGTCATGCATAAGATCAAAATTACATCAAGT